CCGTGAGGCTGCCCCGGGCCCGTGAGGCTGCCCCAGCCTCGCCGCTTCCCAGCAGACATTGGAAGGTATTTTGTGATGCGAAGTCCCCTCTCTTGTCCAGGATCGCTTTTAAGCTCTTCCGCGGCGAGCTTAACGTTCGCAAGGGTCAGGTTGTCGTCACTGAATTTTTCCTTTTTATGAAACAGCCCGCTCTTTCATCTTAGTCTTTTAAAAAATGTAATAAAAAGGGAACGCCGCCAGCTTCAGACCTGTAGTGTGCTCATTGATGCTGTTCCATCCGTTTGGGGAAAAAACCAAATGTGTGTCTATTTCTAAGCAGAGAAGTGCAGCCGTGCTGCTTTATTTGCAAAAGCGGAGGAGCTGTTGGCGAGGAGAACGGCAGGTGGAGATCCTCTGGCACGTTTTCTGAAAGGACAACTGTACTACGAAGAGGTTGTGGTTTCCTTCTTTTAAGTAAATATTATAAAGCTGACAATTTTCAATACCATTTCAGTGGAAAAAGAGACACCTTAAAAACACTACAAGAGGTGCCTGTGCCTGTTTTTTTTTCCCATGAAAATCACCAGGCGTTTCCCCTGAGTAAGTTTTTCCTACGCTTTCCCCAAGCATCTAGTGGTGTCTTCCAGTTCCCTCCCAGGCCTCCTAAGGAGCAGGTCAGTAAGCGGCAGCCTATCCTTACAGCCAACTTCCAAGCCGAGTTGTTTTTTGGCCAGCTGAGTGGCCAAACACACGGTGTTTTCAGTTACGTGGTACTGGTCCCTGACCCGAGACACAGCTTTCAATCTTTGTTCCCTACCTAGCCACCAGTTTTGATGAAACTTGTTATCTTTCAGATTTCTGTCCCTGCCCACTTCGGCTAAAATTGTTCGCCTATGTGTTTGAAAGTAAATGCTCAGGGAACAGCGTAAGACTGGCTGGCAGGTGAACTTAAACCTCAATTTCTTGTGAAAATTAGAATAACCCAGTTCAGGAAGACGGAAAAGAATGTACAAGTACCGAGTCACGTATTTTCAAATGTGATGTGCATGGATTCAGTACCGTTTACAGTGCAGCTAGTGGCACAGTGTAAATCAGTCTCGGGGTTTGCAGCAGGAACAGAATTAACTCACTCAGGGTTTCTGCTTTCTGGGCCCTGTCCTCCTCAATGTTTTTGTCAATGAATTGCCCGATTTTTGGCATGATCAAGACTGACCCCATGGAGCAGAAGACCTGTTTCTTGATGAGCTGGCTTGGATGTCCATGTTATATGTTGCTGTCCATCCCTAAATTTATTCTTTGAGGAGGTTTTAATTTCCAGGCTTTTGGACATATGTCTGTAGTGCCTAAAAATGCATGTTCTCATAGTACTGCAATTTCAGACGTTAGAAAAAATCACTGCCTGATCAGAGCCATATGACTCCTCCTTATAGCACTAAATCCTCAGGAAAGGTGAGAGAGTACAGGTGCCTCCCGTACTTCTTTTTGATACTCATGACAGCTGGTTGTAAAAAGGCACTGTTTTTTTCTCGGAGTTCTTTAGAAAAACAAAGCCCATACAGTCATAATGGCTAAGCTGGTGAGACAATTAGCAGTTTAGACAATTAATAGTGTGGACGGTATTAACAAGGGGTGCTTTGTCATCGTGAGGATGTTTGACTGACTGTCGAATGATTGCTCAGTTCTAAGCTTTTGCAGTCTGGTATTGTTTTATCAAGGCATACAGGGAATTCGAAGGAAAAGTATAGAGAAGAACATTTTAATTTCAATGGTTTTTAGTTAGTATGCTGACATGCATGCATAAAAATATTTTAGTAAGGACACCTGGCTCAGTTAACCGTTACATTTGCTGTAACTGTGTTTAACAAAGTTGTTTAACAACTGTGTATTTTTAAATATAGTTTCTTCTTTGACTTAAAGCAGAAGCAAATGCTCTCTAAGATTCTTCTTAGAAGTGAAAGTATCTCTGCTGTTGCAGGTTACGCCTTCATAAGAAATGTGGGGCAGACAGGTGGGTCTATGAAGTCTTCAGACAGCTGAGTTTAGTCTTTGTGAAACCAACCCTTAGTTGAGATGTAAAAGCAGACGATGAAACCCTCAAGGTGTAAGAATAGCTCACGTAAGTTAAGGGATGTCAGATAGATGGGACAGGGCAGCTGAATTAGACTCTTATCTCCTTAAATTAAAAAGATGGCATTTTGGGGGAGGGGAAGAAAGGCTGTTAGAACATCTTCTGGTTTCGGAGATGATGTTTGTATACCAAACAATGAAAACTTGTTTGAAAGTCGTAAGTGCTTCCATCCTGTCCAACTTTCTTGTGGTTGTTGACTTACTCTACTTCTGTTTTCTGCCACTTCTATGGTTGCAATTTTTTGTTCTTTTTTCATGAGGGAAATGCTCCAGGTTGAAAAACTGTAAGAGATTATATACTGGAGAGTTAAGTTGCCGTATGTACTCTTTGTTCTGTGTATTTCATCGTTTATTCTGTCTTTCCCAGGGGTTGTATGAAGAAGCATTAATACAATTTGAAAAAATCAAGGATATGGATTTTCAAGGAATGTATCAGCTTGGTGTAATGCATTATGATGGACTAGGCACTAAAGAAGACCCTGTGAGTAACCTAGCTGTACACCTTTTACTTTTCTTTTAATATTAGCTGATAATTACTAAGAGCTTCTTTATAAGCTTGATTATTTAGTTTAAAATAAACAGGTCTTTGGTTTAGAATTAGCTTCATAAAGTACAGATGTTTACAAAGCATCATTAAAGGGAGAGGGTTCTGGGCTGAAGAAGTTCTCAAAAATAGCTACAATAAAACAGGTTTATCTGGAAAATACTTAAGATAATTTGTATTTTAAAATATAACTTCTAAGGGTTTGTTTGTACTTTGCGTGGAAGCTATGTTTAAAAATTGCTATTAATTTGTTACTTTTTAATAAGTAGTGCATATAAATGAAAATAAAATGTGTAAAAATGGAAATCAAACAACTGTATTTCAAAATGTAAAACATCCGTTGCACAAAGATGTTTTTGAAGGTACTTCATATTCTCTTAACACGGATGCTAAAGAATATTGTACTTCTGCCAGTGGTTGGCAGAAATATTTTTAAATTAGACAAATGAAGAATTACAAGAATTTGAGGAATTCAAATTGAAGAATTACATTACAAAAAAGGAAGACAAAGGCATGTATTGCTACAGTAAGAAGAAAAGAGTTAATTTATTGGAGAACATGATCTTGAAGAGTGGTACGAGGAAAGAATACAAGGAGGATGAAAGAAAGGGTAGATTACAAGGCAGGAACCAAACTGTATTAACAATTCTGATTCTTGTCTGGTGCTTAGAGGATTGTCAGCAGAGCAGAGAATATTCTGCTGTGTTTTAGAGGTGGTTAGTTTGTTCTGTATGCCTGTATAATTACTGCATTGGCTTATTTGCAAATAAGGATTTTAGCAAAGTTTCTTTCTTTTTTGCATATAACAATATGAGAGGTGAATAAAAGAGGAACCTTTTATAAAGGACTTTTTCTAGTGTATTTAAACAGGGTGTCCATGCTAAATCCTAACAGTGTAAGTCTTGTTTCCAAAATACCTACGAGATCCTTGGATGATACACCATACAGCTGCCCATATGCAATGTTCTCCGGTTGCTTATTTAACAACATCATTTTTTGTCCATTATGAATCTAAGGTATTTTTAATTGAGGTACTTCAGAGTGTGCTATTGTATCGCTTTGCCTTCTGTTAAGGTTATTTTATGATTTCAGATACATCATGCAATATGAAACAGATTGCAGAAGTCTAAAATTGAACATGTAGCAAGTTTAGGATGCGACATTCATTTATGTAAGCACAAGAATATGTTTGAGAAAAATTTTATCAATGAAGAAGAGTAATAAATACTCTTATTATAATAATAATAAATAACATAAGGAAATGTTTCACATTAAAAATAGGCTGGAGTCAAAAATCTAGGGGCTGTCTAATAACCAAAGATCAGTTCTGCTTTGTCATGACACCATTCTCCAGACTGTCCTACCAGTATGCCACAGCCTTTCTTCAAAGTGGAAAAATAACCTGTGTTGCAGAAGTCAGTGGATTCTCAGGTTCTTTATTTCATCCTCTTCCCAGTCTGAATGCAATAATTACAGTATCTCAATGTTAGGAAAAGGGAGTGGAATACATGAAGAAAATACTCGACTCTGATTCCCCAAAAGCAAGACACTTGAAGTTTGCAGCTGCATACAATCTTGGCAGAGCATATTATGAAGGATGTGGTGTTAAGCAGTCAACTAAAGAGGCTGAAAGGTAATGGCAGTCAGTAATTTTCCTGATGAGTATAAGATGCTAAGATGCTGTATTACTTAAACTTTCTTTGTCCCCATTTTCTTAGGTTGTGGCTTATTGCTGCAGACCATGGGAACCCAAAAGCAAGTGTGAAGGCCCAGAGTACTTTAGGAATGCTTTATTCTGTGTCAGTTCTAAAAGATCTGAAGAAGGTAAAGCCCACTTGTACCTTTTCAGTTTCATGAGTTCCAATTAATTTTTAATTTCACAGAGAGAGTACAGTGATAAAATACAGTTTTCAGAGTCAAATATAAGTACTGCTAGGCATTTTCATCCATTTAAGCCTGTATGAACAGATGGTCAGAATCCCTCATTTTGACTCACTTGACACCGCTAGCTGATATTTTTTTAGTTTTTTTTTTAATTGGGAGTATCAGGGAGAAGGATATAATGGATTAAAGTTTTGTCAGCCTTGGTACCCTTCAGAAATCAAGCAGGTATTACTGATTGACGGCTCTGACAGTAAATGAAGCGGGTTTAAAAGCCTTACAAGGACTGTGCTTTCTTTTATGTGTAAGCACTTTTTATAGACTGGTTAATGTAAAAGCTTTTATAGAAACAGTATGCAAGAAAAGCAGCTAAAGTGAATATATACTCCAGCTTTGTGCCTCTTTTTTAGGCCTTTTTCTGGCATTCAGAAGCATGTGGCAATGGCAACCTGGAATCACAGGGTGCACTTGGTGTTATGTATCTCTATGGACAAGGTGTATGTCGAAACACTAAGGCTGCTTTGAAGTGTTTGAGAGAAGCAGCAGAACGTGGAAACATCTATGCTCAAGGCCATCTTGTGGAATATTATTACAGTAGAAAATTTTACTCAACAGCTGCTGCAGTAGCCAAAAGGTGAAGTTAATTTCACTTTATTTTTTATTGTAATTCTTCACATAAGACCATGGAACTCAGATTAAAATGATTAAGTTCACGCTCTTGTCTCAAACTCAAGGACGTTTGAGATAATGAATTGGAAGACCTCACCTTTAAAGAGGCAACAGCAAACTACCGACGAAACTCATGCTATAAGGTTCCCAATTATTCAGTACAGTTCAACTTTTCTTTCTGATCCTGTGAAGCAAAACAGCCTTGAACTAGAATCCCAAGTAGACGCCCACACTCAACCCTGCCTTCCCGTCTCCTCAGTCCACAATCTGCTCTAGGCTCCTGCCTTCGCCCTTCCCTTTTAAACCCCTACAAGAATTCTTCCGCTCTCCACATCCCCCATCTTAATGTAATTTCTATCCACTGTCTTCCACCCCATCATTTCCTTACTCTGTGGCTCAACGTGCTTTGGTCCAGTTCCTGTGTCCTTTACAGGACATGCAAGCATTGACACTGGGTGGGATCCTGCAGTAAGCACTCTGGGCAACACGGCCTAGGACCTAGAAGTAGCTGCTGCACCCAGTGCCAAGTTACCGCCCTTTAGCTTTTCATCAGTTGCTGCTTATGGGGATGCATACCGCATCGGCATTTTTAAGCCTGGACCACAAGATAGGCATCTGCACGCAAGTGGTTTCTGGCGATTATCTGCTTGCGGAGAGGTGCTGGTCTGAGCCGCAGCTGGGGAGCACTGACTGGCCTTTTCACAGGCAGTCACTGTGGGACCCGCTGCTCTACCTACATACTCTGGAGTGGTTTGTGTATTGCAGAAATAGCGACTTCTGTTATAGGCTGCAGTATTTAAAATAGCCAGTCTGTATCGAGTTTCTGTACCTTGAACTAGTCATGGAGGAGAAAAGCAATGTTGGTGCCAGTTCTGTAGCTGATGAACAGCACATTTTTGTGACAGACCTCCAGAGCTGGCCAGTATATGTTAAAAGTTCAATCTGTCTATCAGAGTTAATTTGCTGGAAATAAGATGCAGGTAGACTAACTGACTACTTATACAAGCTACACACAACAGCATTGGTGCTTTTTGTGGTATGTTTATGAAGCTGCTGCTGCCCAGCGATAAATGTGTCACAATTTACCATCTTACAGAAGCTGCACCTTGTATATGCCACTGCATAGCAGCAGCTCTGGTAATTCAGTAGTTCAGCAATGAATGCTGTTTGCTGTACTCACTGCTGAAAAGGATAGTTTTCTCTCTGAACTGCTGCTTTTCTTTCTCTTGCACTGTAAGTAGACTGATAGCTATGCGGTCTAGTCTAGCTCTTCTGTGCTTAGAGTGCATCCCCTCCAGCCAATGCTGCACGGTAGATTATTCAGACAAGTAAACCGCACTTCATCAGCTGCAATTATGATTGCAGAAAATAGCGATGAAATCCCCTACTACAGCCAGAAATGACAATTTCTGAACCAAAAGATACTGCCGCCATCCTTGAAAGAGTTCCACTGAATTGAGATTGCAGTTGGCCTTGAGGCAAAAATCTCACAGCAGTTCCACCAGTTGTATCAGGCATCAATACCTTTTCTGCTCAAATTTGTTTGTCCTTCTATGTTCATACCAACTATGCGGTTTGTTACGTTATGTACAAACACACAAACATTAATGTGATTATGTGCAGTATAACCTTGCCTAGTCTTTGGAGTCTAGATTAGCTACTGATACTTCACTTCAAATAACAATTTTGTTATCCCATAGAGTTCTACTTACCCATTGCTATGGTACGTTCTTGAAGTCAACTATGCTGAACTAGAATTTTTGCCTGACTTGACTGGGTAGTGTTATTTGCATCAGCATCCTGCTGTGTGTCTTTTGGAAAGGAAGGCAAAAATGCTGTATCAGAAAAGATAAAAGAGGTAATAGGTTACTGTTATTATATTTGAATGTTCTTGCTAGTAAGTCTTTGGGTTTTTTTCCCCGTTGTGTTACTGTATTTGTTAATGGGACCAAATTAGGTGGGAGAACATTGCTCTCAACACATTCAAGTGATTTATCAGGTGCTGACTTGCAGAGGGTTACTTCAGAACAATCTTTCATAAACACCTATTTATAGAGAATAGCTATAAACTGAAATGACTGGCACTTTTCTTTCTTTTTTCTGTCAAGTCTGCGCCTATCTGACACAACAAAAAAACTGAAGTGATGTGTGAAGCAGCATGTAATTACTGTTTGGTATCTGGAAAGGATATGGGGCTTGGGGATTTCTCTTTTAAGACAACAGTCAGAAAAAAAAACAATTCCCACTTAGAAAATGTTGTACCTAATATTATAGTAACAATACTAGGTAATTATAGCCCGATAGTTAAAACAATGCTCACTTTGTCCCTCTGATTCTTAAAACGGTTCTTAATAAAAACAACATGCTGAAAATAAGGTGACAGCAAGCAGACAGACGCATGCAGGAGAAAGAAAATAATTGAGCTGAAGCAGTCGTAAGTGGTTGTCCTAAGTGGGTCTTACAACCTGAGGCCCTCAAGTGTGTCCAGGATCTTCAGATTACTATGATTTGCCAACATCCTAGTAAGAACTTGGAATTTTAGAATCATGGAATGGTTTGGGTTGGCCCTTTAAAGATCATCTAGTTCCAACGCCCCTGCTGTGGGCAGGGACATCTTCCACTAGATGAGGTTGCTCAATTACACGAAATAAGAGCTTTGCCTTTCTTCCACATATATATTAATTTCCATGAAATATTTTAATAGGAATAATTAGCATAAAACATGCTGCGTTTTACAACTAGTATAACTATAGTGAAAGTGACTGCAAAAGTTACATATTTGTTTGCTATTTAATATGACAATATTCAAATAAGACTAACTTCAAATACTGCATAGAAGAATCCATGTAAATACATGTAAATTTCAGCTTATTTTGGACAATGATGTAAACGGAAAGGAGGCATTGTCAAGTCATATGTGGTCGACTTAAATTATTGCTTGAAATGGCACTATCTAACCTAATGCTGTAAATTCCACAACAGGGTTACAGAAAACGACGACATCGATGTGCTAGCAAAGATAACTGACTGTCTTCCTACATACGTAGCCAAGGGGGTTGCTATGGCTGCTTTCTATTTGGCTAGATGCCTCCAGCTCGGCCTGGGGGTACAGCAAGATCAAGCCGCTGCTAAAAAATACTATTCTAAGGTAAGCTGGGAAAGTCTTACAGACTAATTTATATCTCATGAAATTGAGTGATACCTTGGATTTGAGTCTTCAAACTTGCGGTTGGCTTAAAGACTCCAACGTTATTTATGCAGGAAAAAAAAAGTATCTGTGCAAGAAAATGAAGAGTGATAACAGTGTATTGAAAACTACTAAAAATAGTCTTGAAAGGATACTGTCTGCCCACTTGCTTAAGCAAACAATGCATTCTGCCAAACAAAAAAAAAAAATCTGCGATAATCACCGCAGCAGAGCTTGGTAACTTGCAAGATAAATTAGCTAAGTGATTTGAATAATTTTATCCCCAACTGATTTGCTGTCATTCTCTCAAACTGAAAAATTGTAACTTTTCCTCTGCTTTAGATTCTCTAACAATTACAACCTTCATTAACCATACTTAAATCAGTCGTAACTGGTTGTCATGCTTACTTTTACGTTTACATTTTTAGCGATAGCTGAGGATCTACTGTTACTGATACGCAGGGGAACAAATAGGTCACTTTTTTTGAAACTTCTAAGGTTTAAGTGAGATTTATTACTGAGGAAAAAGATCAGTAATGGCTTCTAGAAGATGAATCTGCTAAATAATATCAGTGATGCTTAAAGGTACAGTCAAGGCAAGATGATTATGCCAACTGAAGGGAGTGTAGCAAGATTGGATCTGTGCTTCAGAGAGAGACTGTGATTTCTGTGCATGTAGAGACCATTTGTTTCAGCAAGTGAATACTTTCATGTCCAGCTTGGTGCAATCCAAATAAAGAGTTCTGTAAATGGTAAATTATCAAATAATTTTTGTGGCTCCTTACTCAGGGAAGCCACTGATACAAGAGGCCTAGCAGAGCAGGTGATCCTCTGAATACATACATTTTAAACATTTTGTTCTCCTGCTGTGAATAGTGTTATAGAGGACAGGATGAGGGGGAGATCAGGAAAGGAATGTGAACTGGGGTGTTACGAACACTATAGCCAGTAGTCCTAGGCCCATCAGGATTAAATTGCTGCATAGCCCTTCCCACTGTCTTCCATCAGGTCTAGCGTAACCACCACAACTGAAAGGAAATTACAGCTTTCACTCATCATTCACTAGAGCTGTACATCTGAGACTGATCTAGGAATGCCACTAGCTTCTTAGTATAAAAAGCGATGCTTGTTATTGACTGGTGCCATGCATCTCTACATCAACAACAAAAGAGAAGGAACAGAAAACAAACAAGGAAGCTACCTGAAGCAGTAACTTCAGAACAAGTGAAAGACAGAGTTGTGGGTGTGTTCAGTTTCTTTTGTACCTGGAAAATAATTCTGTTAACTGTACAATTATACCCACTTAAAATTAAAATCATGTTTGCTTTTTAAATTAACTGCTCAGCTGCGGTTTTGGCCTACCATTCTTATACCCAGTCAGTTTTGAAAGAGGTGAGAAAGAGAAGATGGGCATCCCAGAGGGTACTGAAACAGGTGATGGAAGTGAATGAAACTCATCCAGTCTGCAAACAGATTTGTGCTTCTGACTGTGGTGCCAGCACATACCATACCAACAAACAGAACAAAAAAATAAAACCACGCTTAATGCTATAGTCAAGTATGCTCATTTTAAATACTGAATTTTTCTTACGTGGCATCAGAAACAAGGATTTAAAGCTGAATATATTAACTCTTTAATATTTTAACAAGTTGATTATCTCAGATAATGCCAACAAAACTTAAAGGCCTTATTTATGTTATATTGACAACATACAATTTTATTTTAGCTATAAACTAGAATTCCCTATTCTTTGGTTTCAAAGGCATGCCTTCTGGATCCTGCCGTTGCTGCTGACCTTGAACTGGCAGCTAATCTTGGGAGAATTTAGTGTTTCCTTTAACTGTGAGTGGCATATAAATGTATTTCCTACAATAAACCATCTTTAATCTCCAGCAATTATAGACTGGTCATCACTTACTGCTTGCTTTTCAACTTTCTATAAAGTACTACTTAAAGCAATTTACTGAATCTTTTTTATCTAAAAAAAGAGAAAGCAAAAAGCTCACACTCTTCCTTTAACTGAGATGAGGCAAAGGCAGACTTCAAAACGGTATTGAAGACTTAAGGTTTATTCAGGACATTTTACTGGGACAGATGTCCTGTGTTTTCTTCATGTCATACTGCTATATAGCACATGAATCAAACCAGAACCAAATAAAAACGGTTGTTCCTTTTTCTGCATTTTTAGTATTTAAACATTAAATTTCAACATTCTGAAAAGCTTGAAAACCCAAACTTGTCTAGTTTTCACATACAGCCCATTCACAGGTCACGACCATTTTTAAATCTTACCTTTGTTAGCAGTGTGTATACTTTCTTTCACATACTTTTCTAATGCATCTAGATCTACTTACGTGGTGTCTTAACACATTTTACTCTTCGACTGCAGAGATTCAAAGTTGGAAATTGGCCTGTATGACACCAAGCTTTACAGTTCAAACCACGTCAACTTCTAAAACAAGAAAATACTACTTACAGAACTATGAAAAAAACCCCATTAGTATGGAGACATTCAATACACGTCCTCTGCACAAGGCCTGTTCTCCTCAATCCTTCTTCATATTGCATTTACACTACCTCTGTTTGTACTAGAAATAGTTGAAAACCTCTTGGTTAGGAGTGCGTATGCCTGAGCAATGTTATGCTGAATATCTTACCGAAAGATACTTTGGTTAACCACTAGTAAATTTTACTGACTGCTATGGTAAGCTTGCACATTTCTAAATACCTCTTTACTCGTAAAGCTTTCTGTGTGCAGAACTTGGCTTGCTTCTTAGGACTGTGCCGTGACTTGAAAACTTTTTTGAAACTGCTGGAACAGAAGGCTAGATGTTACTAAAAACACTGATTTAAATATAGCATACCGATTTTATGTACCTTACAATACAGCCAGCCTTAACTGCAAGCAGTTTTTCTAAGAGCACAACTGTACTGAACTTAAAAGAAAGTAATGAGTGTCACCTAGGGATTTTCCATGATGTTTAATTATTTAGATGTGCATTAAGACCATATTTACATATTTTTACATAAATTAAAAAAAAAACCACTGAAGACATCGTTTTCTTTCCTTGTATAAAATAAGGGAAAGATTTGAAGGTTGTTTGAAACTGGGGTATTTGAATAAAACAGCCCTGAGTAATATCAGGGAAGTTATTAGAATAGTTTAATTAAATGTCTACTTAATCGTTGATAGAAGCAATTCATAAGCACTAACCTCTGAACTAACACTTAACACAGGCATTCTGTTAGGACACACCAGTTTACAATACGTACTTTTGACACAGACTTCAAAGTAACGTAAATATTCCTTACGAAACCAGTGCTGTCAAACTCATTCATTGGTCATCAGTACAGCCTCATTATCAAGTACTGCAATCCAGTTGTGTTATTTATTGCTTACAAATGCTTCAAACCACGGGAAATCTTTGGTAAAAACAAAATTGATAAAATTTGCACAATAGCTTTACATGTAGTATTGCACGACAAGGCTTTTTCAATACACAAGAAAAAAGGAATGCTCAGATCCTCAGTGAGGAGATTAGAACTGTACAACATTCATTAGTTTACCACTATAAGCAAAATTTCTTTTCATAAATGTTTAAAATATTTTCCGGTTTCTTTCAGCTTATATGAACATTTATTTTTTCAATCTATATTTGAAACAGAAGAGTAGTCAAATAGAACAATTTAAATAAAAATTGGCAACTATACAGCATTGTTTTGTCTACCCTACTACAGCATCAGATCTTTTCAAGTCTGTTTACTTCACAAAAAACTCAAGAGGAAAGAAAAACGCTAAAAATAATCGTAGTCCTCAGCCCTCTATGGAAAAGAGGAAATAAGTTTCATGTCTATTACTGGACATAGACATTTCTCTAGTGGTCCAATCGTGCAGATTCAAACCTAAGTGGCATTAAGCTGCTCTAAATGAGCTCTTAGCTCAGGACACAGTTCAGTTAGCAGCAGTTCCAGCAAAACCTGAAAAACAGAAAAGAGTTAAGGTGAGCGCAGGTGCCAAACAAGAATTTCTTTTTCCTTCCTGACACGTTCAGAGCATCACAGAGAACAGAAGCATGTAGGGTCTTTCTGCTCATCATTCATGCAGCTACTTTTCTTTCATCCTAAAGTTAGCACGCGCCCTGCAGGTAATACGGGAAGTGTCTTAAGGCTGAAAGAAGGCAAGTGCCATGGGCAGCTGCTTTCCGATGGGGATTTCCCACCCCGTACGAACTGGCGCTGTTCTGTCGAAGCCGTGGTAGCTACACAAGCAAGCAGCAGGGCATGCACCTCCGGAGCAGGCTGCGTCCGCTCCTGTGCTGAGGCTGCGTTAGGTGACGGGCTGCCGAAGGAAACGAGCCAGAAGAGACTGACTGAGAGTGAAGGTATTATACTTGGATCCAGCCACATGCTCCGACCGGTCCCAACCAACAGGAGAGGAGCGGGACTTCTGGAGGGCTATCATGTCCTAACTGTGAGCCAGTCCTGGAGCTCTCCTTCCCTAGGATACTCCAAGGTATGTTTATTTTTCTCAGCTGTATGAAGAAACTAGTTTGCACCTTATGAAGTCAGACAAGTTGGATGTGGTAGAGGATCTCTTTTAGACAAACGCAATACTGTTTTTAAACTTAAACAGCTTTTTGTTATTCAAAGTCAGTCAAATGATGGAACCAAGTACTTTTTTTCTGACTTCCTTTAATAACAAAAAATAAAAAAGTTACTTGCACATGGAACAATAGTCCAACATAAATCTCTGCAAAAACACACACCCCAGGCTTTAATACTGAGCGAGCAGAGCTCAGCAATCGACAGGATTATAAAGTCGAACGGCTACTTTTCTGGTTACTCACATAGAGTAGATGCTTGTTAGCCTTTCTCTCTTGCAACGCATTGAACACTTTCACTACACCGTGACGGGCATTTTGTTGTCCAACAAGACTCTGCAGAGTATCTGCAACAAACATTACTTCAGCTTATGTTGTTCCACTCATGCTAGGCAAAACCTCCAGCTAATGCTACTACCCATAAAGGAGGGGAAACAAACACACTGCTCTTCATGGCCCTTGGTTACAAGATACACAGTCCCCGTTTGCCAACCTTTCAAAAACATACAGGTAACTCGGGTCACAGGTTGAAAAGATACCCTTATTCTCCAGTTACCCAAATTAAATAATAGCGCATGCATGGCAATGACAACGTTTTAAGTGTTTTAACATGATATATAGCATGCCTTTTAGGTAGTTCACCTCGCAGACTCAAGTCTCATCTCATACATTATTAAACCATTCACTTAAACACACCTTCAGCCACAAAGAGGGAATTCCTACAACAGTTAGAACAGATTTAGCATTTCAATTGCCTCTCAATCTTCACACACTTCCCACAAGTAAGCAGATGAGAGAATTCTAAGTCAATTATTTACATTTTGGATTAAATCAGAGAATAAATAGTGATCCAATGCTTCATCATTAATTTAAGGTGCATTCAGCTATGTCCTGATGTCTCTCTCCAAACTCAGAAACAAACAAAACGACAAACCAACTATGGAAGGCTATTGTAGGCGAGTATGTAACAGAGAGAGTAAATGGAGGGTTGTTTACACATCAGATGATGAGTATTTTGCACGCGTACCTGCTGCTATTTTTGCAGTAAAAGTTGATTAAACAGCCCAGTGCAAGGGGGTATATGAGATACCTCAGTGAAGCCATAAAATAGCTCATTAAAGTACATTCTATTCAGATGGAGGGGAGATGATAAGCATTCAAGCTGTGTTTAAGTGCGTTTCCAAGGGCTAAAGGGAATGAATTTTGTCTCTTCCCAGTTAGGTGCCTTTGGGTTTAGTGATCTCTGAAGAGTCAGAAGTAGGTAACTGGACTCCCTGTCCCGTGAATGGGACGGGATGGAGCATCTCAGGATGGTGCCCCAGAAACGTGCATGCTGAAGAGGAAGCTGCCTGGGTTTGGGAGCTAAGGGCAGGCAGAGGGAAGTCCTGGAAACCCCACTCAGTCCAGGATGCTTCTGTCCCAGGCTGCAGGTCCCTCTAACATTCAGTGCCCTGAAACCTCTTATCGGAAAGAGGCAGCAACACACAACACTGACAGCACGGGCAGACCTCCCTCTTCAATTCCGAAATGTAAGAGGAAGAAGTAATTGGGGTGGTGCCACTCTCCCTATTTGTCAAGTAGTGCCAGGTAGCAGAACCACATGGTGTTTGCTCACAGAGAACCAGCAGAGAGAGTCTTGGCTTCGCTTAGGTTCCCTGATGAACATTACATACAGAAGTACAGCGATACTGGATTTTGCATCCACCAATACCCGAATCCATGCCCTTTACCAGACAGACAGGACAGGCAAAGACTAAGGCCAAAATTACCCTTATATATGCAAAAACCCATAATCTACAACTCTACAGGAAAAATCTAAAATGCAGCAGAACAGTATTTGATTAACCAGTTTCCTTACTAGCTATTAAATCTGTGATTAAGCAGAATGAAAGTGATCTCACCTGGAATGTTTTCAAGTAGTTTTTGCTGTGCCCTCTGTTTTGTCTCTTGCTTTTGTTCGTCGCTCTTGGCTCTCGGTGGCGGTGCTAACTTTCCATTTGGCCAAAAAGCATCTCGAAACACACCAATGTAGTAAACAAGCATTGGTTCACTGAACATCCAGTGTACAGTGTCACGGATTTGCCTGTAAAGAAGTATAGAAGGGAGCACATCAGAGCTGGTCTTTCACGTTTTATGCAGATTTATTCTTTTTACTCCTGAAAGTAGTGGGATCAACGCTCATTTTCATGTAATTATCCCAATTTATCTGAGCTGATTTCACCAGCATCACAGCAAGTCGTATGCAGCTCCGGGTGCTCTAGGATCTAGGATCAGATACCTGAGATGTGGAGAAGGCTACACTTCAATGTAATCCACAAACATATATCACAAATACTACACTGAAATGTGTACATATTTCAAGGATGGGCAGTACAGAGGCTCCACTGGGTAAAGACATAAAAATCAGCTAACTGTAGTGAACTCCAAACTAGTTGCATGCACAGCGGGATAAAAGAGATGAAGTTTTGATAAAAGCGCAGTAAGTTCCCTCACAGCTATCAACAGCACATTACTGAAGGGATTACAAACGGAGATAGCAGCCGCCTCCTGTGGCTGCAGGCACTCACTGTAGCCTTCAGCACAGAGTCCGAGGCAGACAGCAGGCTCCAGGCAGTACTGCCTGTGCCACAGTACAGCCAAACCCTTTGAAATCAATAAATGTAAAAATTCAACCAACATGTAAAAAGCTATACAGCAACTTTGCGTGCACGCTGTGCTCACACACACTCTCTCTCTCTCTCTGTCCTCTCTCAGGTGTCTTTCGTGCTAGTTATCAGCAGTGTGTGAACAAACGAACCGATCATCTTAAAACTCGGCGAATGGATACTGTCAGAGACCATCAGTTCACCGGGAGTCAACGGCGTGACTTCCTATCACTTCTTGTCCAATTTACCGCTCCGTAACATACGTGAGAGGTTTTAAAAGCCATGCTGGCATGTGCAAATTTAGTCACTGACTGGACGAAGGAACAGCCTGTTCTGCTGGTAGATTTCTAGGCTGTGACGCTTACCTGAGTAATAGTCCCACTGCTACACCAAAGCAAAATAATACATTTCATTAGATTCTCAGTGGCACTCTGACTATGTGAATGTGCTACAGAAATCACAGATTCACAGACTTTCGTAAGAAAAACCATCATCATGCGTAAGAGCGTCAGTACTGATCGAAAAGTCATGGGAAAAGTGTTTGTATCAATCATCTGCTTTATTGAATCAAGTTTTACTGTAGGTCTTTGTATCTGACAAGAAAAGGAATACTCTTCCAAAATTTTTCTGACCAATGATCTAGCTTTCCACATGAAAGGTGTGTACAGACACACACGCTTACTTCATAGCCTCATCCAGGCCTCACTTGGCAGATGCCTTCAAATGACACAGAAAACCACCTTCATGAAAACACATCACTGTTACGCATGTACAGGTTTCATGTTACAAGTTAATGGTTCTCATCATGTATAAACACTGTTTCAGTCACTTTAGAGAAATGCGTATTTGATTTGAAAGAAATTACTTAAAACGGAAACCTAGTTTGGCAGGTTTCAGATCTGGCAAAAATCTTCATGGGACTGTAAGATAAAGCACAAACCAATAAAAGCCATTCAGAGCCAGGCTGTTCGGAAAAACAGGATAGCAAGTCTTTTTTTTTATATATATTTAGAGAGAGAGAGAGAAAATGAATCCCATGAAATACTGTGTTCTTCCAAAAGCAAAGCCCCGTGTAGGGGAAAAAAATAAGGAAAAAGATAATTCACATATCTGTGTCTTCTCTAATCAACACATTTGTAAATTGAGCTGCGGAAAACAAATGCAGATCATCACATACAACAGAATGTCCAGATTTTTTTTTTTTTTTTTTAAAAACAATTCTGCTCTCAGCCTTTTTTTCATAGAACAACAATGCAGGTTCAGTTAAAGTAACAGCTACTTACTTGTTAATAGTTCTTCCAAAAGTGACTTGTACTAGTGCAATTAATGTTTTCCTGACCCACTTGAACACTAGAACAACGCAAAATGACAGAAAATAAAGATCAAGAGGTTAACAACATTAGAGAACCCATGATCATGTCCAAAACCTTTCCCTCCACCCCCCAAAAACAAAAAAAACCCAACAACCCACCCCTACAGTAAACATATCTATTATAATCCTTTATAAGACTTCACTAACTGTACACGGGTCTTGTTTTTCTTGACTGCTTTCCCTGTACTGTTTGCTATATGGTTTTTAAGTCTTGCAGATTACATAAACATATCTATAATATGCATTTGTAGTTTATACTGTAAACTTCTATGTTTAAGAATATTTCAAGTTTGTTGAGCCATACAACTACCCAAACCCCTTTTTCTACTTGAAAAAAGAAAACCCCTCAAAATCCACACCCTTTTCATACCTACTAGTATAACGTTGTACACACAGCAGCATCATTAAAATTCTGAAAACATTTTCACTCAAATAAACCAAGCAGTTAGCTTTTCATTATAAATAAAGGAAACAAATGCGAGTGCTTCCTAGTAATTACTGGTTTATTTTTCCTTCATGCTGTTCACCATCAGCACGAGAAAGTCTATATTTGGAAGATACATCTGCCATTTTTGGAAGGTGCTGCATTTTGTAATAGTTACCCTGTAAATAATTTTATAGAGCGTCAACTGTGGCTGCACATTCAAATAGAAACAAAAGTAGTTTTCTTTTACCATCATTCAGTTACGTAAAGGAGGAAAAAAAAAACTGGTACTCAAAGATGCCACAATTCTAGCATCTTTTCCACTGTACAAATTGTAGAACTAAAATGCATACATAATACACTTAAAATGGGCATTAAAATTATGTTGCTTTGTCGGTGACATGTTCTGTAATAAAGCCATCTTTCATTCCTCATAATTCATTCATTCTAACAGGCAGAAAACATGCTTTTGTACTTCTGTTTTTTCCAGACTTTTTTTTTTAAATTAAAAACTTCAGAATATTGAACGCAAATGCTCTCCCCTACCAGTTACATTTTTACTGCCATCTTATATTGGAATTTCACTTTTGAATGAAAGCACCAAAGTTATGAACTACTGAAGAACAGCTCTGTTCCAAACAAACTGGCTACATAGATTGCAAGAACATTTCCACTTATTGAAACAGCAGAAAAATCCAAATTACAAAGTGCCCCAGATTCCTTGGCCAACAGATTCCACTAGCAAATAAGCAGGTTTACAGCTTACTTCCTCGCAGCTCAAAAATCTCTCCAATCAGCATGAAACATGGTTCAGCAAGAGAGTCCCTTTTCCCATCCACCTCCTCTCCGTAGTCTGACAGGTCACTATCCTCTTCCGTTTCTTCCTAGGAAGAGAGACACAACACGGGTATGCACTGCAGTTCCCCATCCTTCTTCCAGAATGGCTTTAGTGACTGCCATGCTCTGGGGAAGGAGCGCAGCCAGCCCTCTCAAGAAAGGGCATTAGAGCCACCAACTCTGCTGCTGGCAGGATCTGGCAAACAGGAACCTCACCAGGGATTTTGAAAAGGGATTGCACTTCTCACCGGACAAGGGTGATGAGGACACTCTGCACTGCTGGAGTCATCACCACCGCTAGATCTTCTGCCTGCAACCTTGCCCCAGTAAGCACCTCAATGTTCGGTGGATCTGCCCAGATTTGCAGGGTCCACTGCCTATATTGTCCTGCCAACACTAGCTGGATAAGGGAAAGCAGGTGATGTGGGAACCACGTACTGCTAGGAAGCAGGTGAGAGCTGTAAGGAGGAGATGGCACTCAGAGGCGTTTGTGATTGCAAAGCCTCCTCTGACACAACACCCATGAAGGAAGGACATCCAGGATGGGGAGCTAGCCAGCTGGAGCTGTTTGCAACACAAGCAGCTAGGAAGAAAGAGGCAAAATCTGGTTATTGCACAGGGGGAAGCAGGTAGCTGGCTCCCCTGGAGAGCAGACAGTGCCTTGCACAGCTGAAGCCACTCGGTGGGATCGGACACCAGCAAGTTGTCCTTGCAGTAAGCCGGAAACCAAACCCAGCAGCGAAAGAGGAACGGGCCACTGCAAAGACAAGCACCATTAACAAGTACTAGTCCCAGGCAGAAACATAGTATGGTGATACTTAGTGACCTGAGCCTGAGGATACCCAAGCTCAGGGTACCGAAGGGAGTAGAGTTATTCAGAATAGACTCACAGGAGAAGAATGGATTGAACCACCTCGGTTTTGGTGGTACCATTTATTCAAGAATGAAGAGCAGATAGCAGGTTGTTCCTCAGTGTCAAAGATCTGCTTCAGCATCAGGACTACACCACCTACCATTACTCGTGGCAGCCAGCACATCCCTTTGCTTTCCTGGATCTTCCCCTGCCTGCCTATGCTTACAGCGAAGCCACGGTGGGGTAGACCCAACCCCCGCTGAGGCTGGTGCAATGCCCCAGTCTCTAGTTCAGGAATGGTCAGAATGGCGTGCACACAAATTTTCTTTCTTCAGCCCTGGTTTTCAAAGAAATCCATCATCTCCTCCTTTGCCTTCCTTTCTTTCTTATCATTCCAACATCTAATATTGCTTGATTCCTTCCCACCCCTTACCCCCCCGAGTCATCCAGTCTGGAAAACCTGCTTCATGGCTCTATTTCTCTTGCATTATTTTGGTGTCTTTCTTGGCCTTATTCTTATGGTCACAATCTTGCAGTCATCCCTTGCCTGTCATTTGAACCCTGCTATACAGAGAGTATCCTACAGTGTCTCAGCCATACATCAGTTTGTCTTACTCCTTCCTCACACCCCCCAAATCCCATCTAAAGCCCATCATTGACTTCAGGTACATTTCCAGTCCCTGAATCTTCTCCAGGCATGGCACTGCATAGTAGCCTATAAATAAATAAATAAATAAATAACTCCACAGTGTTGCATATTCCAACACCTGTATATCCCGTACCCTTCACACTTCCTGTGTCACATTTGGCATTTTCCCTAGCACTGCTCGAGACGCTGCTTCTCTGCTCATAACCAGAAAAACAAAAGAAAAAACCCCACAGCACTGAAGCACACTGTAAACGTCCGCGTAGACTCCCCTGTTTACCAACTTCCGCAGCTTGTTGAGTCCCAGGCTTTTAAAGCTTTCTGCTAGAGATAGGCTAAGTTGTGACCGAGGGCAGGGAACAAAAAGCCACACCATACTGACAAGAAATGCCACACAAGGAAACCACAAGTCATTACGCTTCTTACCATACAAGCACACAAATTCACTGACGATGACCAGAGTTTTCTCCAGGGACACAGTCTGGAGCAAACTCCAGTCCTGCTCACTATCTTCCTCTGGTCAACAGGCTTCTTGGTCCTTCATCATTTTAATTATTCAAGAAATTATGTTTTATTTAATTTTTCATAGTAGACATCATTCCATATTTTCATTAAGCACTTGAGCAACAGAACAGAAAATAAGCTTACTGAATTTGCAGGTGAGCTTACTGAATTTATAGTTGAGCCCACAGGGTGCAGTTTGATAAAGACAGATGCAAAGCAGCGATAACTCACTGCGTAAATGCAGGAAATGAAACAATTGATATTGGTAAGACTACAGAAAAAGATCCCAGGGCCATACTGCTGTGGAAGAGGCAAGTGTAATACCATGATGTTTAAGCACGAGCACTTTTTGTATGACATACATACACATATAGATATAAAAATTATTTTCATACATGGGAATGGGAAAGCCTAGTGGGAGCATCGTGTTTCAAATTTTAGTCACCACACTTCCAAGAAAAACATGGATAATCGGTAAGTCCAGAACAAAACCATAAGAACTAAATAAAACATAACCTAACAAAAACTAGAAGAAATTGGGGCTGCTCAGTCTAAGAAATAAAAGACAAAAGGAAAGTACTAACTCCTGATAACTGAGATGATCCTAGCCCAAACTGTTCTGTGTTTGCTGCAGACAGGACACGAGCTAGCTGGCTAAAGAAGGGAGATTTAGGTTAGACACTAAGAAAAGGTTTCTGACCATGAAGATAGCTGAGAAGTGGGATACGCTGCCTTGCTTGGCCAGAGAACATCAGTTATCAGAGGTTGAAAAACACGTTAGACAAACACGTGCCAAGAATTTTGCCGGTACAGTTGAGTCTGCTTGGAGCAGGAGGGTAAACCCCATGACCTCTCTGAGGTCCCCGCTCTGTTTTTCTGCTGTTCAGTGAATCCCCTATCATTTAGAAAAATGCAATGAGAAGAGTAAATTCTTACACCACAGTGCATTTTCTATCTATTAACACTCCATAAACCTAAAAGCCCTTCCTCTAGATGATATCAACTGCATTTTTTCCTCTGTTTTGGTCTTGAGAGCTAAGAAGTATGTTCTGAAGCTAGCCCTGTCCAAGGAGCTGTACATATAAAAGATCTGAAATTGCTGTAATATCTAATCCTGAAAACAGCACTCGAGGTAATACTGTTGCTCTACAGCATATTTGAAAAATGTGAGATGAGACGTAAAAGGCAAAGAGAGAGCTGTATGAGAGCATTCTCTTCTACAAAGTCCAAAATACAAACTAAACCAGGAATTCTTAGTTACAAAGAGAACACAACTGTAACAGCTTTGTAACGCGTGGTTTAACACAACTTCATTAATGACCTTGTACCAAACGATTCAACCCTAGTTTAACTGCTGTAGTAAATTATCCAAAATGCTATCACTGGGCAAGACTGAGCTGATATGAAACTCACACTGAAAGACAAGAATGTCCAAGGAAAATTAGAGCTGATCCCAGACTGCCTCACAATTCCCCTCCCTCCACTTAATTTTATCATTATTTTTAAACTAGGACAAACGTTTGCCATACTGATTCAGAGGGTCTAACAGTCCCCTATACTCCCTCCCCATCCATATTCTGTTGCCTCATCTTATGTTTAAGCTTAGGGAAATAGCAGAGAGGAGAGGGAAGGTAGATGTGAAGTGGGATGGTCTTTGCATTTGCAGTGCCTGGCATAATACAGCTCCTAGTCTCAAAAGTAGCAAGTACAAAATAGTATTAAATTTAAACTGAGTGAGAAGTTATGTTCTGACTCCTCTGCTGCCACACTGTCTGGGCATTTTTTGCTCTACTTCCTTCAGTTTTTCAGTACCCATTGCTTCATTTCTGCTTCATTTCTTTGTTCTCTATCCTCTCTCACACACTCTCATTACAAACTCCCTTTCCTTCTCCCGTATTTCCTAACTACCTCCTCCTACACACTCACGTAATACAATATACGTGCAGTCTGGCTTTTTTCTTGAGGATGTCTTTCAATTAAATAGCAAAATACAAATAGCTTCATGCTTCTATGCTTTTATGCTACTTCTACCTAAGTGAACACACTTTTGTTTTTAGAACTGCAGTACTTCTATCGAAGTGTATAATTAGTTTCTCAAACTTTCTTTATATTTATTACTCTGAAATGAGACATATGCATTCATCATCTAGGTGCAAATACAGTGCAATTTTGAAAAATGAAAATATATAGGATTTTCTCATTCCTGAGAGATGCAAGTCCACCTTTTTGCCTATTAACAGGCTAGAACCATAAAAGTTCCCAAAACTCTATTTATCCTGCTCATCCACTGCAGACAACTACAGCATATGAGAAAATAATTATTTCATATAACGTATAACTAAAAAGGGGAATAGAAACAGCTCCTTGGAGGCTGCACGTCTGCAACATGAACCACACAGAATAAAGAGCCACGGAATTATGGTCAATTTTAGTCAGTGAGCTATTTTAGTCACTAATCTATTCTTCACTGCATTTTGAAAGACCATGTTTTTTTATGGCTTAGTATCAAATTCTCCAACTGGTTTGCCCACATGGGCTCCCGCCTGTATTTGCAAATTCCCTCAGTGAGCCTGTACCATTTGCCAAAATTCTCTGTCAAAACTAGCTTTGCTTCAGAATTCGTCCAGAAATTATTAAGGACACACAGCTGTTCCCTGCCAAGAGAAGCTTCCTAAGAGAGAACTATTTTTACCTGTCAAAAACCCTCTGAAATACACATGTCAAGAGCACAAGAAATGGGAAATTCTGCTATAAAAAAAATAAACAATCCTACATGGACTGCGATTTGTTTATTTGTGATAGGTTACACATTTGCATATATATATTTATCAAAGGGCAAGAAACTTATTGTATTAACAAACACCTTTTAAATTCATAGACAGCTCTTATTGCTGACTCCTTGTTCACTTACAGTAAATTAAAAATGACCTTTGGAAATGCCTTCCAGTATTACCTGCCATTCAAATGCATTATATTAATGGCTCTCCCTGCTTACTTTGGATAAGTAATTAAATTTGGGAAGATTACTTTTCTACCGCTTACCTCCTGATGAGAAAACAAATCACCAGGAAGTCGTTCTAGAAATGAGGAGAGTGAAAAAGAGGACTTCTTTCCTTGCACATCAATAACTTTGAGGTGCTCTGGGGAAGGACTCAAGAAGGCGTAAAGTGCTTCACTCTGGCAGAGTCTTTCATCAGAGAGCAATTTCTATGAAAGAAAAATAATGACAGAAACAACACATTAATTAAATATTTCTTGTTAAGGAACAAGGCTGTCCAATAAAACTGATTAAGACATGGCTCAGAGGTAGAGTGAGAAAAAAATCCGTGTCTCACAAAGATACTTCAAAGATACTTTAAGAAGCTAGTTCTAAAGTATTAGAACTAGTAAGATTAAAGTTTTTAATCTTACAAGTTTCTTTTTATTTAAAAAAGGTTCTAATTTGTAAGAAATTTGTTGTGAAGTGTTATAGTTAAAAGTGGCAATTACAGGATCCATTATTTACTATTTCTTAATTAATCAAAGTTTACATTAACTTACCACTAGAGGAATGGTTACTGTCAGCCAAACTCATCTCAACTTCAGGCACTTAGACAACTTTGACATTTATAGTGTCAAACCTTACATCTGACCTATTTGTTCTAGGCTCCCTCTTTAGTCCATAGAAAGACAACATCCACGCCAAAGGCATGATTCAAATCTCCTGTTTAGACATCTGTTGTTTTTGTCTTTGTTTTCTTACCTGCAGAAAGTTATTAAGCTGCTTCTTGGATTTCTCCATGAACTTCTGGTCTATGGATTTGAAGGGCAGCTTGCTGAGGGAAGGCAACTGAACTTTCTTTAATGATGGAAAACACTGTGTAGGAGAAAAGAGAGCTCACTTAACATACATGTGCAGAAAAACACAGGTGGTTCAGAATGAACATGAAAAGACTCCTTTGTACTCTCATCTCCCTTCCACACCCCTCTCAGCACCTTGCAAAACACCTTCCCTTACCCACTATGGGCTGACACGTCTAAACCCTTTCCCTTCACACCACCATCATTATCTATCCCTTATCAGACAGAAAGGTTAAAGCACTGTAAAAGGAAACCTTCTCTGTCCCCAAAAGCTGTCTTCTCTAATACCTCCCTGGAAACCAGAGACAAAATCTAGTTTTTAAAGCAGGCTCTTGCATGACAGTGCAGAGCATATACCATTTTGACATTGGGTTAGTTCAGGAAAACATTCATTATTAAGGAAAAAAAAAATTATAAACAAGTTTCATAAGCATCTGGCAGAGGCCAGAAATATGCAGTTAGAAAACTACCTCTAAAAGGCTAAAAGCCAAAAGGCTGGCATAAGAACTGGCAATATTAATTTTTTATCTGGTTTTCCACTCTCCAAGCATCATTCTGACAAATTTTAGTAATCTGCATCTTCTCCCTCCCCTAACTGAGATTCGTACCTCACTGAGTTTCCGGTGTAGGTTCTGAAACTCACTGAGCTTCCTGGGAACAGTCCAGTTCTTAGTTTCAGCTCCACCGACTTCTTGTAAACTCACCATGACAGAGTAACAGGGCACTTGTTCTCCATTCTCTTCTAAAACCTTGTGGGGAAGAAACCAGCAGATAAGGTATACTACTTTGAAAGCAAACAGTGGAACATTCGGGCTGCCTCATGACTGGCTTGCAAATTCAGTCATCATCACTGTCCCATGCTTCTCTTGCAGTTTGAAGGCTACACATGGAGCAATACCCTTAATGGACTAAACTTCACCCAAAATGCTACGTCAGCCCTGAATCAGTCCTCCAGCTAGCCACTGTTACACGTTACATACAGCTTTGCAATACCGCCTATCAGCAATCAAATCTCCCTGACATGTCTTCTTCAAACAGCTGCATTATTTCAGTTTCTAAGGTACCTACCACATCGCTTTCTGATTGCTTAACCAATACTCCATCTCTCCCATCTGCGTTTTCCCGACTGTTCTCCCATTACTCCCACCCTTCCTCCCCAGTGCTCGTGCCGAGGCTCACCCACACGCCAGGCACAGCAGCTCTGCAGCTGGGCCCTGCGGCAGCTGGTGCTGTCTCAGAGCGATTTCGCTGCTCACTTGAGCTGTTCTGCATGCACAGAACATGTGGTATCCATGTGGTGTTTATTTCCCGAGGGGCTCACAACTTTACAAAAATACTAATGAATCAAGCTGTACAACAGCCAGAGGAAGGAGGAGCGATTAACCACATCGTGCAAATGGGAAAACTACAACAAAGAAGTTAAATGATTTTTCTTGAGAGAACTGCAGCAGTATGACCATATTATTTCTTAATTTGATGAGCTACCCAGAATTTCATCCTTATGTCCTAATCGTAACAGATTTTTGTTTACTTATTTTAAGGAGACAGCTAAATAGATTATGAAAGGCAAATAAGGGAAATGCATAAGATACATAGCGTTTTTTGGCCAAGCCAAGGTCTCAAATGCTTGTTTTAATATATGTGCAAATAACAGAAAGGTAATTATAAAATACCACTCTCACGATCTTTTTGAGGGAAGTAGTAATTTTTAAGCTTTTGGGGCCTTTTTTTTAAGACTATTTAACTAATCCAATTAGGATAAGAATAAACTTTAAAATTCATATAATTATGACACATTTTCTGAGAAGCCTGTAAAGGTCTGACAGCACTTGAAGCTAGTGACAGATCATTTGACAAGCAGCTACATCACCTTTGTAAAAGACACACAGCTAAAATGTATCTTCATGTTTTACAGCTGTTCAGAGCTGTACGTGGAGAATATTCCCTGCGATGCACTCCTCCTAAAGCTGCACATGGACCACTAGGAAACCCCATCTGAGGCCCAGGTTTCACATCTCTGTAAAAAGAGCTGCAGCAGCACCCAGACAGAATACAAAGCACCAGCCTGAATGTCTGAAAATGTGCCTGGTTCCCAGCACAGCTATTTGGGAAACTGCCCTTCTCCTGCCAGACGACTGCAGAAAGAGATGCTTGAATAGCCTCCAAAATGTAGGTCAGAGGGACCTGGCACAGAGGGACTGGGATCTCCTGGGACAGTCCCTGCCTTGTCTACCCCTGAGCTAGATTGGATTCGTGTTTGTAGGTGACTCACAAACACCTCCTGGCAGCCGCTTTTGAAAACCAGGAGATCAGTGCTGAAAATGCTGATCTGAGTCATGCGCATCATTCTCCCTTACACATTCGTCCCCAGGGCAGGGATCTGCATGTGTGTAGGGTCATCTGAACTGTAATTGTCAGGAGACAGTCATCCCTCTGGAAGCACATTCTCAAAATGCAAGGACTTAGTACTCCTTCTGCTTTCAAGTTAGGATCCACTGCACAACCATTTAAATTCTAACTACTAGATGGAGATGCATTACAACTTCCTTCGAAAACCCTCATATAAATACCTGAAAGTCTTCAGGATCTTCTTAAGAAAGCAAAATTTTTGACCAACTTAAGTACTTGTGCGTTTGTTTTTCCAAATTAATGAGTCAACTAGAAAATGCACAGAAAAATGGGATGTTAGGGGGTCTTCTAAACCAGGAGATCTAGTCCTTTGCTGTAACAGGCACCATCTCATACAACTGTTATCATGAATGAATTCAAACTTGTGAAACAATTTTTTTTCCATCCCCATTACAGTAAAAGTCTGCTCTAGACCCTCACCCTGGTCATTGGAAGTTTCCTTTCAATTTGCAAACTCATTTCCCATTTGTTCCAACAACTCTTCACCCCTCCCTTATGTTTACTCTTATTGATGTGTTTTTATAGACAGCCTTATTCCTCTGAGTCTCCCTTTTGCTAAGCTAAGCAAACGAAAGTGCATTCACAATCACTTCTCACGGGAGAAGTTCCTCATTCAATCCATTCAATTCCACCCTTCTCAAACGCAACAGCCCAGCACCTGCAGAGTGACTGTAACACTTCCTCATCTCAAATGGAAACTCCTCTCCTGATGTATTCGAGGGCCGCGTTTGCCTTTTTCACACCTGCAGCCCACTCAAGACGAACTGCACATCTGACAAGCCACCAGCATACCTACTGCTTCCAGCCAAAAGGTGCTCCAACGGGTCGGAGCCAAAGG